CTTAAATATTGTTTGTGAGAAGAATCAGAGGAGAAAATAGAGATTGTAACCCGCAATATTTATTTTGATTCAAGAATTTCATTTGAATAATATTTTTCGTGTTTTTAAATTTAATTCACGAAATTTGTTGTTACAAATTTTTGGCACGCCCGGTGGGACTCAAAATAAATTTGTTGTTACAGGGTCAACTGTTTGTCTGCTGGTATAGTTCGGTCGATTTGGTGTGGAAGGTTTCGGTTTTAGTTGTTAGTGGGATTTTGAGTTCATATTCAAATAATATTTAAAAGAAAATAATTAATGTTGATTTCATATAAAAGTAGGAGAGATATAATATGAAGTGATGGTTAGTTAAAATTATATGAGTAGATGAATAATGAATTAAAGCCAATGCAATGTGTAAGAGTGATTGATATACTTAACTATATTGATAATATTTAGGATAGTGAGATTGGGCTAAAGTTGAGTTAGATTTTGAGTGTGGATTGAGTTTATTTATAAACATAACATACCCTAAGTATCATGTTCACACGGGGAGTCCTGATTTAACTCATCCTCAAGGTATCTGTTGTATCATATAAATACAGCATGTCCCAAAGGAATTGAATGTAATTGGCATGTTTTTTCCTTAAATATTTTTGTCAAAACCCATGAGAAATAGGAAATGAAAAAACGTGACATTCTAGGCAAATGAGAGAGAGAGAGAGAGAGAGAGAGAGAGAGAGAGAGAGAGAGAAGACGGTGTTCCAAAACACATGTCTTCTCTATTCTTTCCCAAGAATCGATCGTATGCGAGACTCTGAGGGAGATTCAAGTAATCGTCGCCCACAAAGATAACCTAAGGTGTCGAGATATATAGAATATTGTGAGGTCAACCGTTTCGTCTGGTCCCGCAGATTGTGTATGTCTGTACAGAGTTGGAAATTAAAATTCGAATTCGATCGTTAGTTCCGTTATGCGTAGGATCCAATTTCCTAGATTCTCATTATATTCAAAGCACCACCATCGACGTAGGATTCAATTCGTGACGGAGTCTTCTCTAATAATTTTTATTTGTACGATTTGGCCAAACACTTACTTGAAAGGAGAACGAAGTGAATCTCGATCATAGTGCACAAACGAAGCGAAGCGAATTCAGTCATATAAGAGTTCCGAGGGAGATTAAGGCGCTATCCTGATAGTTCATTTTCTATTATTGGCTTACGCAAGTTTTATGAACTTACATTGGTTGTAAAATCGCAATTTTTTACTACCCTAAAATTTCATATATTTTCCACAATATTGGGTGCCTCAACAAAAACTAAGAAGCCAAGAAATTCTTGAACCACTTGACAGAATCCTTAGCATATCTCTTCATGTTGTCCTTATAATCCACATAGTATAATCCAAACCGTGAACTGTATCCAGCTGCCCATTCCCAGTTGTCTAGCAACGACCACGCGAAATAGCCTCTCACGTTGCAACCATCCTCACTGTTTGTTAAGAACATCGAAGAGTTAGTTAAACATAACTGAAAACACGGTGGAGTAATTCACCCAAATGAGAAGATGAACTGATTACTTTATAGCAGCTAAGAGGTTCGTTAGATAGTCGTTGTGATACTTAATACGCTTCTCATCCTTTAGAGCGTCTTTGATGGACTTAAACAGGCTGTTTCCATCATCCATTCCTGTTCATAAGAGTGCCCCAAAAAAATATATATCAGATGCTAATTACAAAATATGGAAGTGCGACTATAGTATTGCTTCGAGTGGAAACTTTTTACCGTTCTCAGTTATTAGTACAAGCGGGTTGCCATATTTCTGCTTAATGTAATTCATCAAATTTCTTATCCCACGAGGCACGATATACAGCCAAACGGAATTCGCCTGCTCGTACAAATAAATCAACTAGTAAAATATTTTTTTCTCAAAATATATAAAAGTAGTCATCTTCAGGAAGATAATTGAGTTTTGGTATATAAATTGAAATCGAAAGGTGAAATTTAGAAAAGAGCGTAACACAAAATCTTATAGCTAGTTAGTCTGCTTACCTTGTCAGGTACAGGCTTTCCCAATACAAATGCTGCAGAAAATTCAAAACCAATGCTTATCAGAGAACTTGTATCACAAAATAAACGCTTCAAACCGAAGAGAGACAGAGAGAGAGAGATCTCAACGTACGGAAAACAAAGGCGCCGGAGTCTGAAAGTGTGTCGTTGAGCAAGACATTGATTATGTCTACTTTGTTTTCTCTTGCAAACCACGTTGTGTAGTGATTTATGCCTATGAAATCGAACGAGCCCTTGACCTGAGCAGACTGTGACGGTGAAAATGTTGGCAGCCGGCTTCCGACTCTTGTTCTCATTGCATTTGGATAGTCTCCAACAATTAGAGGCTCCAAAAACCTGATTTTTAAGTATAAGAAAAAAAAAATTGGAGGGAAATGTTGTTTTAGTAGTGTTTGAAAACAAATTAAAAAAAAAAAATAAAATGAAATGAATGAATCCTTACCAGCCCAAGTTAAAATCGATCGCCCTTTGTGCTGCTTGAACATCAACAGGGGAATTTGTTGCCGGTTCGTACCAAAACGAGTCCAACGATATTCCTATCGATCCTCCTTGTTTTGGCTGGCTCGGAAAAGAAAACAAATAGGAATAACTTTCGAAAACATTTCTAAATGCATACATAAAGTTGTCGAAAATTAGAAACATAAAATCACCTTGTATTTTCTCTTATAAATATCCACCACGGCCGCATGCGAGAGGAGCAAATTATGAGCAACAATATACGGCTCGGTTGCCGAGTTCCCAGCTCTGCAGAACGCATGGAGGAGAATCGAACACCGGCCCGGAGCCTGAAGCCCGGCATCATATCCTTGAGTAGAAACCGTATGCGGCTCGTTTAAAGTGATCCAGTGCTTCACCCGATCACCAAACGCCTTAAAGCACGTCTCGGCATATGTTGCAAAGTCTTCTCTGTCAAAATCAAATTGAAATGTGTAACAAGAAATAAATGAAATATTCATTTAATTAGTGTATTAAGTGATTAAGTGTTAAAAAAAAAAAAAATAAAAAAAAAAAATAAAAATAAAAAAATGATTGATATATCTTACATGATTTGAGGGCTCAGCCATCCATTATATTTGTCTTCCAGGCTTTGAGGGAGGTCCCAGTGATAGAGTGTCACATATGGTTGAATTCCTATAAATGTATATTATTATTATTATTATTACTATTATTGGGAAATGCTACGGTCCCGTTACAGAACCATTCCGTCGAGGTATGTAACCGTTAAATCATCATGTAACCGTCGGGAATAGTTGATCTAACGGTTAATAACCCCGACGGAATGGTTGCGTAACGGGACCGTAGCATTCCAGCTTGGTTGATTATCAGTATTACCTTGGTCTAGCAAAGCATTGATGAGATTGTTGTAATGATCTATTCCAGCTTGGTTTATTTCCCCTGTTCCATCTGATAACAACAAAATAATTTTCATATTTTAAAAAATTATAACCATTTTATTTTATTTTTATTTATTAGTTGAGATTTTATTATTTGTTGAGATTTTGCTCACTTGGATAAATCCTGGACCAAGAAATTGAGAACCTGTAGGCTTCCATCCCCATGTCTTTCATCAGCTGCACATCTTCCTAATTTTTCCACAGACATTTTTTTTTATCCCAAATAAAAAAAAAATCCATACTCTATTTAAAAAAAAAAAAGTAATTTTTTTTTGTCACTTTATTTATAATTTTTAAAGTTTTAAATTAAAAATAATAATAATAATAATCAATTGCAAGACTTACAGAGTAGAGGTGGTATTGATTATTTGCTTCATCTGCATTGCTAAAGTCAATTACTTTTCCTGGGATAAACACAAGTAAATTAAAACAACAGATAAAAAAATTAAAAAAATAAAAAAATAAAAAAAAATAAATGTGTTAGTACAATAATTTTAATATTTTGACTAAAAAATAATAATAAAATTTTTTTTTTTTTTTTCTTATTATTTACCAAAAGAGTGGGCAAATGTGTCCCAAATTGTCTGACCCCTTCCGGCCTCCTTAACAGCTCCTTCATACTGGAAAATTAATAATCAAATTCCATTAAGGATTAATTACAAATTTTATAATATATGAATTAAGGAAAAAAAAGTCCACAAAAATTCATAAACATAGATAATAAATATAAATGAACATTTATTTGTTTAAGTTGTTGAGGTATGATATATCAAAATAATAATATTTTCATATGTTCCATCTGACATCTATTTTGGATATAAAAATAATAGATTTTAGTAATTTAAGTAAAAAGTATTTATATAAACCTTTATTAATAAAATACCAATCTGAATTGAGAACTAATATATTTGTTATCAATTGATTTGAATATTTTTATCATCAAACCTAGTGTGTGTACTAAAGAATATAGAAAATTTATGAAGGTTCACTTTTTGGCCAGTGAAAAATACCCCCACTCACATCCAACACTCCATCTGCACTACTCTAAATGGTATTCAAATCCAGCACTCCTGCAAATACTTAGGTCTACCACTGCAAATTGGCCATTCCAAAAGGCAGACTTTCAGTTGTGTGGCTGATGTGGTCAAATCTAGGATTTTGGGCTGGAAGAATAAGCTTCTCTCCCATGCTGGGAAAGAAATACTCATTAAACCAGTCCTCAGTGCATTACCTGTGTTTGTTATGTCATGTTTTATATTGCCTATGTCAGTTTGTGATGAGATCAACAGGGTAATTGTTGAGTTCTGGTGGAGTAAAGGAGACAACTGTGAAAAAGGGATGCACTGGAAAAGTTGGAAACTAATATCACTTCCTCTGGAAAATGGTGGGTTGGGATTCTCTGATCTAAAAATTTTCAATGAAGCTCTTATCTTCAAACAATTGTGGAGAGTAATCACAAAGCCCAACCTCCTAACGAGCAATCCTGAAAAGCAAGTATTTTCCAAAAGACACTTTCTTCGAAGCAAGAATTCCTCAAAACAGCTCCTGGCTTTGGAGAATGAGAGTCTTCCCCACTTTCACCAAACATCTCAAAATGGTCATTGGTGATGGCAAAACAACCTGCATCTGGGAGCATCCTTGGCTCCCCCACATTCCCAGATATGAAGCCCAAAAGAAATACTCTCTGCCTACCCAACCTCACCAAAGTCAGCCAAACTCATGAACACTGAGGACTGCAACTGGAATATTGAGCTTATTAGAGAAATTTTTTTCTCTCTGGATAGTGTCCTTGGCAGTACCAGTCAGAGCATTGCAAGGAATGACATATTAACTTGGGCCTTAGACAGTAAAGGCTTATTCTCAGTCTTCTGTGCATATGCACAACTCATCAATTGTAAGCTCAACATACTTGACATTCCAGAGACTAGTTCTCAGTTCACTTGGATCAACAAAATCAGGTCCCTGAGCTGGAAACTGCAAGTGAAGAGGAAAATAAAGCAATTCATCTGGAAGTGTTTCAATAACACCATCCATGTCTGCCTCAATCTTGCCAAAAGAGGACTGAATATTGACACAACTTGCCCTTGCTGTGGGGTCACTGATGAATCTGTAGAGCATATGTTTTTCCATTGCTTCAGGGCCCAAACATTTTGGAAATTGGCTCCTCTTAGCTGGAATAACACTCACCCTAAAACCCCTTGCTTCAAACTCTGGTGGAGGGACATATGCCTAACTAAGGAATATGAAGTTGTGGATAGAATAGAGCTCACCACATACATCCTGTGGTGGCTCTGGAAATCCATAAATTTGTGGATCTTAAAAAAGTCTTGGCTGCCAGAGAAGGAGGCCATCAAAGCACTCTCCTTGAATGGCAGGAGTTTACTGTTGTTAGCTCCTCATCATAACTTATAGACCAGTTTTTCTTTCCTTTTAGTAAATGTATGACATGCTTTATTTAGTTTCTCTATTGATGTCATCTCCCTGTTTCCCCCCTGTGATTTTTTAATTAGGTCCTCAAGTTCAGTGGCTAGTTATTCTTTTTTTTAGGCCTAGATAGGTTAGCTAAAGGTTTCAGTATTTTTACTGCCTTTTAGTAAGCTGATCTTGATTTTATTTGCTTAGTTCCTTGTTTGAGGAACTTCTAATTTGTATTGGTCATTCGGCCTCTCGTACATTGTATATTTCTCTTAGTTT